GCGGTGTCCTGCAGATTCTACATCATTCTTTAGCGTTCCATAGTATGTGAGCCATAATTCTTAATGTTATATTAGTTAATGCTATTAGGAAAGCTCTCTTTCTTTTTAAGAGTGGAAGAAGTGATGACCTCAGAGAAGAGAGGGAGTCAAATCCTGCATTAACTGCAATCCAAGGACCGTTATCATTCACTACTGTGCTGTTTTGACAGTTGCCAGTATCCAGTAGCTGTGTCCTCTCCCAATATGCAGAGCACATTGGCTGCTTCAGAGCACCAGTGTTGTTATTTTTCCAGCGAGAGCACGTGAGCAGGGAAGGTATTGTCACGGAGGTTCTAGAAGCCACACTCACTTAACAACACAGAAGTCTCTCTCTCTCTATTTTTATGTCACATTTAAATTTGTGTAAGTGACCTGTCCGAAAGAACCCCACAAATTAGGACTAGATACGCCACTAATGTCTGGGGGCTACTGAGACCATCCTCTAAGATTGTAGATTTTGCTTCTGCACTTAGAACAGGCACATTCATTATGTCTCTCTTGTTCCCCACAGTTGCTGTGATTGACTGATTAACGGCTCTCTCTTGTTCCGTGCAGCTGTGATTGGCTGATTCATGTCTCTCTCTTGTTCCCTGCAGTGGCTGTGATTGGCCGATTCATGTCTCTCTTGTCCCCTGAAGTTGCTGTGATTGGCTGACTCATGTCTCTCTGTTGTTCCCTGCAGTTGCTGTGATTGGCTGATTCATGTTTGTCAGAGAAAGAAGCAACTGAAAGCTCGCACAGTGTGGCTCGGGTGTCCTGAGAAATGCGAAGAAAAACATCCCAGAAATGCCATAAAAAATCAGAAGTACAATGTATTTACCTTCATTCCTGGGGTAAGACTGGTCAGTTCTTGAAGACCCTCAGCTGCTTTTCTCTCAGGAGTAAGCCTGTGGAGACCCTTATTTAATTGTTTTTAAATATTTTCTCTTTGTTCATTGTGTCCAAGCCATATCAGCCTGCTTTGTGTCAAATCTGTGTGCCATGACCGAGGTATGTTTCTGATGGCTGCACAGTCGTGTGTCACTCAGTAAGGTGTACCACTTGATCATTGCCTCTAGTTCCTGGTCAAGCCTTCAGTTTGTATTATCCTAGAAATAATGAAGTGAAGCTGAGTTCGTAAGAGCAGAAATGAAGGTGGATTTTGTCTGACCGAGAGAAAAGTGGAATGTAATGTTTAAAACTGGCCAAGGAACTTCATGATGAGAGTAAAACTACTTTTTACACAAAAATAATACTGTAACAAAATGTTTAAATTACAAGCATTTATAGGTGTCCTCTTTAAATTTAAAATTCTGGCATGGCTGTGTTGATATATCATTAGTGATCGATAATTAGGTATTGTGCTGAGTTGAAATACAGAAGCTTAAGCTTATTACTTTTTTGTCGTTAGTGACATTTCTAGCTTAATTTACCAGGCTGAGTTCATTAGTGATCAGTGTAGTGCAGTGTTCTGTTCCCTGGGCATCACCCCTGTTTGAAGAGACAGGATTATTTCCCTGTCAAGGCAGAGGACACTGGCATAGGGAAGAGTTTCTGTCCATGTGGTTGACTTGCCCCAGGTGTTTGTTTTATAGTAGAGTCTCTCGATTACTTGGAATGAGGCTGCTTTCTCATTTCTCCACTCTCCTGCTCACCTTGCTGACTCCATGGTGGGCACGGATTCCTGCTATCTACACAACGGTTGGCACTGCTTGCTATCTAGTGTGCTCTTCATTAAGCACTGAAAACTAATGGTTCCACAGTGAGCAAGCTGCTCTTTGATCAGGACAGCCTAATGTGAACTGTGTCCCAGAAGATCAATCTTCCCATCTTTACTGGACGGAGCTGCTGTTCCTCCTCAGGTTTAGAAGCCTGCACACTGACAGCTTGGGGAATATTGTCTGTTCTCCTGGAGATCACCAAGGTCATTATGTAGACAGTGAAAGGACAGACTACAGTGGTTTAAAGGCAGGAGTACAGCTTAGCTTTGTGCAGAGCACGGTTCTGGGCTGCTGAGATCGGCCATATTCTGAGGGACCTGTTGATCATCTATGAATTGTAACCATGTGGGTGAGGTTTTTTCTCTGAAATTAGTCTTTTCACTTAAAATCTAGTGTTCTAGAAACATTTGGTAATTGCTCAGTGGGAATTCTATTCTGTTTTTAGCCAAATGGCAATTTCTGAATTGCTAATAGATATAATTTATGCTGAGATCTTAAAGAAATCCATGAGGAAAAGAGTGCTTTCTCTCCTGCTGAGATTAATTTATAAAATAATTCACAACATTCTTAGACAGCAGTTGGACGTGATTATGATGAAAAATGTGTTAGCAGCGTGTACCCAGTTTTTCCATCACACCTGTAAGTGTATGATGATGCACATAACTTCCTTATGTGAAGTCGTGGCTGCAGACCCTGGGAGCAGACAGTGAGCCCTTGACCCGCAGCTCCACTCTCGTTGAAGTTCCCACGCCTCCTGGTGTTGCCGGAAGAGTGACGTTGCAGAGACCCTAAGCCGCAGGGTTTGAGTTGCAGGTTCTTGGGTTCGGCGGCTCTTCTGGTTGGTGCTTGAATCTTTCCAGTCTACAAATGAGATCTGCCCCCTTTCAGTTTAAGTCTAGCAATTGGAAGCATCTTTAGTGGCTTATTAGTGTACTAGATCTTGAATATTTTTCCTTAAAAATTATTTGAACTGAAAAACAAAAGCTTGCAGTTTTGACATTTCTAACATTTTATTGAATGATAAAACGTATTTTGTGTTTGAAATGACCATATTGTGTTAAGAAAGATCAACTTCCCAGGGATTATACAGGTCACACAGGTTGTGTCCCCCTGGCAGCTGGTCTGCTTAGAGGGCCCCTTGTTGGGTGAAGTTACACCTGTTAGGGTGTGGGTGTTGCTTGTCCACTCGGTCCTTGAAGCTGTGCAGGTAACCCACTTTTTTGGAAACATGATGTCAGAGTGTATTTATTTATTCTTTACCATTTCCCAGATAAGGTTGAGAAGACTCTTCCATTATAAAATCGTGTGACTTGGTATCAAGATACAGTTTGTATACATGGATGTGCTGAGTGTAACGTTGGGGTGGGCTTAGCCGTTTCAGTAGCTTTGACCTACATATAAAGCTTTATAGAAGGCGGTGGAGAACTGGCATGTTTCATAAAAGAAAATTAACAGCTAACTTGTAGAGACATTTTTTAATGTAGTTGAAATTTCTAATTGTCTTTTTTTTTTCCCCAGTATATTTAAAATATATGATGTTGAGCTAACCTTACTACCTCTTTTTAAAGGTGATATACTTGTTGGATAGCCAAGTTCAAAATGAGTAAATTTCCTGTGAACTGGGTGTATTCTCACGGATGGAAATGTGTTCAGATCCTGGGCTGACTTGAGTGAGTCAGTGCAGATGGTAAAGATTTCCTGGGAAGGATGGTGCTAACGTTCTCTTTTCCTTTTTAGGTGTTATACGAACAATTCAAGTTTTTCTTGAACCTCTATTTTCTGGTGGTCTCCTGCTCCCAGTTCGTGCCAGCGTTGAAAATAGGCTATCTCTACACCTACTGGGCTCCTCTGGTAAAGGAAAAAGTCTTTTACAATTAAGTTGAAGTATTCAGTAATTTAGAATTTAATTTTCAGAGTTGAGGTAGTTAAAGTTAAATCAGTCAGATTTTTAAACCATGGCATTGCTGCTGTGGATCACAGAACTTTTGCCAATAGCTTGTCCAGAGTTCTGGTCCTTCGGTTCTGTTGAGGCCATTGGGAAGCGGAGGAGCAGTGTCAGCCCACGGTGCTGGGAGTTGGTGGGTCTCCTCCACGGGAGAAGTGATGCTGGGACAGCCCCTCTGCTGAAGCTCTGCTGCTCCCGCCTCTGCTCACTGACCGACGGGCACGGTGCCTGGGCTGTGAGCTGTGTTCAGTTGGTGTTCTGACACTTTGACAGATAGGTAGTGTGTCTTTGACCGCAGGTGAAGTCCAGAGGAGCTGAGTGGGTCACAGACAGTTTCTCTGTGTGTGTCTGTGTGTGTGTGTGTGTGTGTGTGAGAGAGAGAGAGAGAATAAAGGGGCACAGGTGGGTGACAGTAGCTATAGAATGAAGAAGACACGGTTACCTGGATCGGGCTCACTTGTAACCACAGAAAGTCTTCCTTAGATGGATTCTGTACAAAGGATTTTATTTGCTTGACTCACAGAATGGATGATGTTGGCCATACCTAGAGTCAATATGTGTGTGTGTGTACGTGTGTGTTCACACGCAAATGTGTACACAGTGTTCACCAAGACAGCAACACATTAATTTTCATAAGAACACTCATTTCTAGCTTGAATTTTAAGCCTTGGGTTTTTTGAAGTACTTCATCTTTTTTGGGCATGTGAGCATGTGAGCGTTAACTTTATTTGGAACCCCTCAGTAGGAACATACGTTAGTATGTATGTCCTGGATGCTGGGATTCCAACGTGACTGTTGTGTTACAGAGAGGAGTACAAAGCTCGTTTGTTTCCTTTTGAATGATACTTAACATTGCTTTCAGCTATGCCTGCATGAGTCCTCTTCCCTTATTTATTATGCATTATACTGTTGATTGACAACAGAGAAGAGATTGAAGTTGTCAAGGATTTCGTTTTACTTGGATCCAAAATCAATGCCCATGGAAGCAGCAGTCAAGTAATCAAACAACGTATTGCATTGGGCATATCTGCTGCAAAAGACCTCTCTAAAGTATTGGAAAAAAAAAGCTGTTCCTTTGAGGATTAAGGTGTATTTGCCCTAAGCCATGGTATTCTCAGTTACCTCATATGCATGCGAAAGCTGGACAGTGAATAAGGAAGACTGAGGAATTGATGTTTTTGCATTATACTCTTGGTGAACAATACTGACTATACCCTGGACTGCTGGAAGAACGCACAGATCTGTCTTGGAAGAATTATTGCCAGAATGCTTCTTGGAAGTGAGGTGGCAGGGCTGTCTCATGTACTTTGGACATGTTCTCAGGAGTGACCAGTCCCTGCAGAAGGACAGCGTGCTTGCTGAAGTAGATGATCAGCAAAAAAAGGGGAGAGCCTCAATGAGATGGGCTGACACAGTGGCTGCAACAGTGGGTTCAAGTACAGTAATGATTGTGATGGCAGAGGACCAGGCATTGTTTCGTTCTTTTGTACGTAGAGTTGCTGTGAGTCAGAACCAACTTGACGGCCCCTAACAACATAAGATCATACTGTTAGATCTTGAAACTCATCTACTTTGCTGGAAGATTTTCTTTCGTTCCTCTGTTGGATGCAGTCTCTTAGTTTGCACATGACAAAGCTTTGTTGGTATTGATGCTTATACTGCTCATGTGCCCTTTGAACCTCTGATTTAGCAGAAACTGATGTGCACCTGAGGCTCCTTCAAATCCAGGTAGTAGGCTGAGGGGATATTGGTGCTTTGAGCTGAACTCACCTCAGAAAACAACAGTCCCTTCAAAGTCTACAGCTGCTACGCATAGGATCGTGAGCTGTGTAGAATTGTAGCAGAATTGAAGACTCATTAAATACATACTAAATGTATGTGAAGATGTGTCTTTACAGGAAAGTATTTATAAAAGCACTGTTTCTAAACTACATATGAGTATCTGGTTTGTAACCAGAAGTGTTCTTCAAAAGGATTTTGTCATCACCTCACGAGTTCTTGCTCTTCTTTGCCAGTCTGTTCCTTGACACCGGCCTTCTGTCCAGGGACTGTAAGAACATATGCTCTCAGACTATGCTTCATTTTTGATATCCTGGCTCTGCTTGCTCTTCACAGTCAGACTGTTCAAACAGAAAACAACAGCATTTCTGGATTTCTTCAGCCAAAATCCTCCAGTGAAGCACAGACCATCTCACAGCTGTAAAACCCACTGCCATTGAGTCAATTCCGACCCACAGCACCCCTAGAGGATGTAATGGAACTGCACCACAGGGTCTCCAAGGCTGTTGATCTTCATGGAAGCAAAGCCCAAACCAAACCCACTGCAATGGAGTCGATTCTAACTCCCAGTGCCCCTAGAGGACAGAGTGGAACTGCTCCACAGGGTTTCCAAGGCTGTCATCTTTATGGAAGGAGCTCTGGTGGCACAGTGCCTAAGACATTTGACTGCTAACCAGAAGGCTGGTGGGTCATACCTACCAGCCACTCCATAGAAGGAAGACCAGGCAGTCTACTTCTGTAAAGAGTAAAGAGTTACTGTCTCGGAAGCCCGGTGGGGGTGAAGTAACTGAAACCTTAACCTCTCTGGTGCCTAGCTACAGTTGGGGTCTTTCTGGAAATCATGGTGCCTTCATTGTTGTTGTTTGCCGTTGAGTCGGCCCCGACTCATAGCGACCCCTCCTTGGGTTTCCAAGGCAGTATCACTACGGAAGTAGGATTGCCCAACCTTTCTTCCAAGGAGTGGCTGGTGGGTTTGAACTGCCAGCCTTCTGGTGAGCAGTCAAGTGCCTTAGGCACTATGCTACCAGAGCTCCTGGTGCCTTCATTAGTAATCCTTTATTAAGTTGTTAGGTGCTGTCAAGTTACATCTTGACTCATGGTGGCCCCACAGGAAGGGTTTTATAGGCTGTAATTTTGGTGGGAGCACATCACCATGTCTTTCTCCTTAGGAGTTGCTAGTGGGTTCAAACTGTCAGGTCTTCGGTTAGCAGCTGAATGCTTAACCATTGAGCCACAAGAGCTCCTTGTTTTCTGAATTACTTCTGGCAGTTATCATTTACTAGCTTCAGTCAGAAATAATGTCGTTAGTTTCCCACAGATAGAAAAGTAAATGTAAAATAACTACTTCCATTGCATATTTGCACCTGAGAGATGACCTTTCACCCTGCTCATCTTTTGGGGCCACCCTTCATGGAAGAGCTGGTGTGATGAGAGTGGCACATGCATTGTAATGCTTCCATCAAAATGGATCATGTGTGGGAGATTTTCAGAGAAAAGGAATTCTGGCTGTGGGTTCTCAACTCTGTATCTTTCATACAAAACACCTTCCTGGGACTTAGGATTCTGCCCGGAATTGGCAACCGGAGAGGACGAGGACAGCGTTTTCAAGTCCTTCCTTCTGTCCAGCCTTTCTTGTGCATTGGAAGGGTGGAGAGGTACGGGGTTGGGGAGACATCTCCAAATAAGCTACTGGTGGCCCCACGTTCGAGGCAGCCTACTAATGGGCTGCATGACCTGCATCATATCTTCTCTTTGTCCTTCAGCTTGCCTGTGAATAGAGGATACCATGAGGCTTCAGAAAGGAAGGTCACTTACAATACTTAGGAGGGTACCTGGTATGTCACCAGCCTTGAGAGGGAAACCTAGATTGGATCAGTAGGTGTCAGTAGGAGTTCTTCCTCTATTGACAGAGGAATCCTGCATTGTTTCGACATTGAGCCCAGTAGGCTGCTGACTTACATGGAGAAACTGGAGACAAAGTTCCTTGTTGGCGACACAGGATTTCGTCACAGGCTGTGGACCGGCCACACGAGACATCTCATCATCCCGTTGGACACCAGGCTTACACTTAAATACTGTTGTTTCCAGGGTGACAGAATTCCACTGTGAGCTCTTTGATATCCCATCTTGATCTTTCTGGTAGCTTAAGTCACTGACCCATTTGGTCAGAATTAGGGGGAGGCCAGTTGCTTCTGCAGCAATACCTGCTTGTCCACACCCACCATAAACCACTGGTCCATAGGGTCCAGGGAGAAGCTCAGAAGTTCTTCCTCTCGCAGCAGAGGCTTGTTGGCTGTTGACTGCTTATTGGGAAGGAAACACTGGCATCAGTGTGCAGGCTGGTTATGGGCTCTTTTTTAGGTTAGGTGTGGACGTGGGTGTGCAGGCTGGCTGTGGGGTCTTTTGTAGGGTAGATGTGGATGTGGACGTGCAGGCTGACTGTGGGGTCTTTTGTAGGGTAGTTGTGGACGTGCAGGCTGGCTGTGGGGTCTTTTGTAGGGTAGGTGTGGACATGCGGGCTGGCTGTGGGGTCTTTTCTAGGGTAGATGTGGATGTGCAGGCTGGCTGAGGGGTCTTTTGTAGGGTAGGTGTGGACGTGGACATGCAGGCTGGCTGTGGAGTCTTTTGTAGGGTAGGTAGGGTTAGGTGGGTGTGGATGTGATGGTAGCGACAGTGTGGCTCTGACTGATGCTGCACTTTTGTAATTGGTCCCAGCAACCTGAGGTGTCAGGGTAGCAGGTGTACTCCAGCTGCACTGGCTCTGACTAGGGTTCTCCTTCCTCTTCTCCGAAGCTGGGCCCTGTACCTCTCCAGTCCCTTTCTCTAGTCTTTCTACATTAGAAGTGGGCGCTGATCTTCTCTGACTCATCAGACTTAGAGACACTAGGGACTAGCACACTTGTGTGATTGATAATTACTGGTGGTGTAGTTGACAAGGCATTTGATGTAACCAGGAGGTCAGTGGTTCAAATTCACCAGCTCTTCCATAGGGGGAAGGTGGGACGATCTACTCACATAAATATTTGCAGCCTTGGAAACTTAACGAGGGTTGCTGTGAGTCAGAATCAACTTGATGGCAGTGGGTTAATGAACTCAAAGGTAACTTTTGCTGTCTTTAGCTGTAGGTTTAAAGGGGTAGAAATTAGATTCACTTGGACGGTTCATATGCAGCCAGCCTTCTGGGGATCAGCAGTCAGGTACATGTTTCGGGTGGGCCCCGGGCGGTTCAAGGCTGCAAAACAATCTTCCCAGGTGATTATGATGTGCACCTTTGATTAAACACCATTGCATCCAAAATGCTGTCTGTAGCATACAGGAAAATTGGCCTGACACTCGGAGGCACGTAGGGAAGCGGGCACATAGGGGAGCGGGCACGTGGGGGAGTGGGCCTGATGCTGCTTCTCCTCCTCTTCTCTCTCGGGGAGTCAGGCACAGATAGAATTTTAAGAAATTACTATATATTAGGAACCTTAATCTATAACAGCGACTATTGTCTATGTGGAAATGGGTATGTGTAACTGTTTTCTGGCTTTGGAGGTGCATATTTTTCATACTACTGATACTGAGCTGTGGCTTACAATGTATGTATTTAAAGTGGTACTGCTCCCCACCCCAAGTCCCTTACTGAAATCAAAACGATGTGTCTTAAAATGGCATCTTTGAATGAAGGAGACAACGTATTCCATCACATGCATGTCCCATGAATGTCTTAGTTTTCAATGTGGAAGTTATTTCCCAAACCTAATCATCTCCATTTAGAGTTTTGGTATTCATGCTCAAACAGTTATCTGTGTATATAAATAGCTACATATATCTCTGATTTTTCCCTTTAGAATAAGTGTTTAGCAGTGAAACTGATTGCTTGAAGTGTATGTAAATTAATTTCCTACAACTTTTTTTTTTTCACTGTCTGCTGCTTTGACTCTTCATATTTAATTGTCTTTGTTTTCCCTTTGCTAACTCTAGTTCTAATGAAATGAAGACTGTATGTTCAAGATAAGAGCTGTTCTCTGCCTGCACTAATCGGTGCTTTGTCATAACAAGCTAGCAGCTTTGAAGAAGCTGATCTAAAGTCCTCTTAATGCACACTTCCCTCTAGCACAGTGGTGTTTGATTGTAATAGAGAAATCTCATTTGTTTTCTTAAAAATTGATACTTCATACAACTAACATCACTCTTAACAATAACAGATGGGATGTTCTTCCTGCCAAGATCAAGACCAGGACAAGAATGTCTGCTATTGGCCACTCTGTGAACGTTGCATGGGAGGTACAGTGACTAGGGAGGTTAGGCAAATAAAAGAAGAAAAAGATACACAGATTGGAAAGGAAGAAGAAAAGCTCTCTACTGGCATATGCGATGCTGCTGTGTAGAGAAAGCTCTCAGGAAGCACAAGGAGCTCTGGTGGCACATTGCCTAAAGTGTCTTGACTGCTAACCAGATGGTTGGTGGTTCAACCTTCAACCCACCAGCCACTCCATGGAAGGAGGACTGGGCAATCTACTACTGTAGAGATACCACCTTAGAAACCCAAAGAGGGTCTACTTGATGGCAGTGGGTTTGGTTTTTTTCTTTTTAAGGAACCATACACAAAGTATGGGAACTAGTAAAGGAGTTCAGCAAGATGGCAGGATCCAAGATAAATATACGTACTTCTATTAGCTAGTAATGAACTCCTGAAAGTGAAATTAAGAAAACAATCCCATGTATAATAACAAGAAGAAGAAAGAAATACTTCAGAATAAATTTAGCCAAAGAAGTGCTAGATGACATACATTTTGGAAAGGAATTAAAGATCTGAACTAAGTGGAAAGTTACTCCATGTTCATGAATTGGAAGATTTTATATTGTTAAGATGACATTATTCCTCAAATTGATCTATAGATTTCATGAAATGCCTATCAAAATCTCAGCTGGCATATTTTGCAGACATTGATAAACTGATTTCAAAATTTATTTGAAAATTCAGTGGACCCAGAGTAGCCAAAACAACTTTGGAAAAGATAAACAAAGTTGGAGGACTCACATGTCCCCATTTCACAAGTCACTCTAAAGGTACAGTAATCAAGACAGTGTGGTACCACACTGGCCTGAGGACTGACATACACCTCTGTCGAATGAAAATGAGAGTCCAAAGAAACCCCTCACATTCATAACCAATTCATTTTCAACAAAGGTGCCGAGACAGTTTAATGGGCGAAAGAATAGTCTTTTCAGAAAATGGTGCTGGGACAAGTGGATTGCCACATAAAAGAGAATGGAGGTTGGACCCATACCTCTTACCGTCTGCAGAGCAGAACTCAAAATGGATCAGAGATTTAAATGTAAGAGCTATAGAACTCTTAGAAGAAAACATAAACATAAAGCTTTATGATCTTGGACACTAAAAGCCCATATGACAGAAGAAAACTGGTAAATTGAACTTCCTGAAAATTAAAAATGTGGGCAAACAAAGGACACAAGAAAGAGACAAACCAGAGAAGGGGAGAAAATACTAGTAAGATGATTCCTTGTAAGTCATGTATGGATAGGGGCTTTGAATCTAGAAGATACTAAGAACTGAAAGATATATCATGCTTGGTAAAGTGGAGGGTCAGTGAAAAGGGGGCAGGCCCTCAGTGAGATGGACTGATAGAGTGGCAGCAACAGTGGGCGCAGGCGTAGCAAGGATTGTGAGGTTGGCGCAGGACTGGGCAGCGTTTTGTTCTGTTGTATGTAGGATCGCTGTGAGTCAGAGCTGACTTGGCAGCACCTTACAACAACAAAACAACTGTTATGTAGCACAGTTAAGAAGTGGGCAGAGGATCTGAATACACATTTCTCCCAAGAAGAGACACAAATGACCAGCAAACACTTGTAAAGATGCTTTGGTAAAGGGGGATTGTAAATCATAGGAATCATAGGTGCACTCAAACTGTTTTAAAGGTTTTTATAAGTAGGAAAAAGAGCACGTGGAATTGTAGTTGAAGAGAGGACAGAAGCGTGAGATGGGGTGGAATATCCCCAGCTGTCGGATTGGTTTGAATGGGAAAGAGGTGGATGTCTGGCGTGTCTGAAGGGCTGCTGAGAGAACACATGGGAGCAAAACCTCATTTGAGTAAATACAAGAAACACATTTCCCTGCCTCATTTAGTCTGTTTAGTCTCCAGGCTCCCTCTCTCTCAACAGTGTTCTGTTGTTATCCAGAAAAAATGAGAATATGTTATTACTGCCCTTTTAGTAGAAAACCACCAGTACTCTGATCTTACTAAGTTGGCTGAAGCAAGGTCGTCAGTAGTGGGAGCCCCACTTCTTTATCGTCTGGAGAGCGCCTTGAAGAGTACTTAAGTTGCATGTGTCAGAAAAAATGGGTGTGCCCTTATAAAGTTGGGCATTGCTGCGTACTAGTGGTGTGACAGGTTTCACAAGCACTCGCCAGTAGAGAAAAGTTTACTTCAGTAGCAAATTAACCTAGATAGACTTTCACTTAAAAAGTGAGAGGAAAAACTGTAACCAGACCTGTGCTCAGAAATGCAGTTACACAAACATGCTGTGATGTAAAAACGTGCTTTGAGAAATGTGTCAGTGTAAGTCCTCTTGTCTGCTCAGTGGTTTCACAGGCCTAAATGCATTTCTTCTGTCAGGGATTTCAGTGTGTCGATTCAATGATACGTGTTTCATATTGTTCACCATTAACTGGATATTTGAAAGCTTGCCACCTCTGAATGCAATTCATGGCTTTATTGAAGAGAGTTAATTTTTTCTTCATTACATTGGTGAGATTGGGCTTAAAGTACATATTGTGATACAAATGTGGAAAATTTTTGTGGGTAGACTGAGAGCTGTCACTCTTTTCCTCTGTATTCTTTTTGTGGTGTTTTCTTTGTTTTCATTTATTGAAAGTTTTAGGGAATAAGAAATAAAGAAGTAGATCTAAATGGCTAACAGAATTTGCCTTTCAAAATCATTTTTCTCAAGCTCTTTGTTTTGTTTTACAGGGATTTGTCTTGGCTGTCACCATCACACGGGAAGCGATCGATGAATTTCGGCGTTTCCAGCGAGATAAGGAAATGAATTCACAGCTGTACCACAAGCTCACTGTACGAGGTTAGCCAGACGCTTTTAGGTCTGTTCAGCATTTGTTGAATATACTCAGCGATTTAGAATAAACAAATCAAGAAAAGTGTTGCTGGGAATAGCAGTATGAGATTGTACACAGGATTCAGTTCGTTCTCTCATACTAGATACTGTGTCCAACTCCAGGGAAGTTTTTATTCACACCCCAGATGTTGGAGGGTGTGTCCATGTAGGTGCATAGACACGTGTACAAATCATGATGCAAGGTGCTCTGTTACACTTCATGTGGGATGCACATGTGAGATACACGGGACACCCCACAGTGTTGGATGCACATTTGCTCAGAAGGTAGTGTGTAGTATCACTTTATCCAGAACCCTAAACCCATTTGTGAAAGTCGGACTTTCCATAACAGGGTTGTCAAGTGCACTTCAGTCCAAGGGCCTTTGACCCTTAAATGCTGAGATCCAGGCAGAAACCGCACAGGTGCCTTTCCCCTTAACCTGCAGGTGGGCTTGCCCACAGAAACCTTGATCTAAAAGTGCATGTTTGTCTGGTTTTCCAGCCTGCCCCAGAAAAGGAACCTGGTTTTAGGGAAGGTTGAGTGGAGCTCTTCCAGCAGGCATTGTGAGTGAGGGAAGAGATGGAGAAACAACATTTAGTTGTAAGTGTCCATGGTGACCTCAAGTTTATTTATAATGGACCTTCTGTTACATATACATAAATACAATAAAAGACTCTTTCCAGAAAGCGTCCCGTTAAAAAAATCTGTTTTTTACGGTGCAGTGGGGTATATTTCACACACAATAAAATTTCCCCACTAAAGTGTGCAATGCATTGATTTCTGGTATATTTGGAGTTGTGCAAACATGGTAGCCATCTGATTTCAGAATATTTTCTGCTCCTTTGGGAAGAACCCCCAGATCCTTTAGCAGTCATTCCCCATTCTTGGCCTACGTCTCTGGGGGCCCCCTCTCTCTCTGGGCCCCCTCTCTCTCTCTCTCTCTCTCTGGCTCCTGCTCCCTGGGGGCCCCCTATCTCCAGTCTCCCTCTCTCTAGACTTAGTGCAAGCAGGAAAACACCCTGTCTCCCCAGCAATACTCTACTCTCTGCCTCCATGGATTTGTCTATTCAGCACATTCTGTGTTTATGGAATCATGCAGTCTCTGGTCTTTGGTCACAGGCTTCTTTCACTTAGTAGATTGATTATAGGGTTCATCCACATTATATCATGGGTAATGTTCTATGGCTGGCACAGGACTTGGCATTGTTTTGTTCTGTTGTACGTAGGGTCTCTGTGAATTGGAGCTGACTCGATGGCACCTAGCTACAAGAATGTTCCATTGTATGACATACTACGTTTTGTTTGTTCATTTATCAGTTGATGGACGTTTGGGTTGTTTATACTTTGTGCTATGATGATAATGTTGCTATGAACATTTGTGTCCGTGAACATATGTTTACTGTTCTCTTGGTCATATACATAGGAGTGAAATTGCTGGGTCATATGGTAGCTCTGTGCTCAGCATTTTGAGAAACTGTCAAACAGTTTACCAAAGTGTCTGCCATTTTATGTTTTTATCGGTGGTGTCTGAGGATTCTGATTCTGTGCATTCTTGCTGCCCCTTTTTATTCCTGCATAGCTCTGGTGGCATAGTGCCAAAGGCACTTGACTGCTAACCAGAAGGCTTGCAGTTCAAACCCACCAGCCACTCCTTGGAAGGAAGGTTGGGCAATCTTCTTCCGTAGTGATACTGCCTCGGAAACCCAAGGAGGGGTTGTTATGAGTCGGATCTGACTCAACGGCAGTGAGTTTGGATTTGAGTTTATGTACAGCCATCCTACTGGGTGTGAAGTGGTAGCTCCTTGTGGCTTGATTTCTATTTTCATGGAGCATCTTTGCGTGGGCCTATTGGCCAGTTGTGTGTCGTCTTTGGAGAAATGTGCATTCAGATCTTTGGCCTGTGTTTTGAGTGGGTTATTTGCCTTTTAATTTCTGAGTTGTAAGCGTTGTTTATAAAGAGTTGGAGTGGCACAGTGACCAAGTAGTTGCCTGCTTATTGAAAGGTTGATAGTCTGAACCCAGCCAGGTTCTGCAGGAGAGAGACGTGGTGATTTCCTCTTGTGAAAATCAGCCTAGAAAATCCTGTGGGGCAGTTCTCCTCTTTCACTCGGGGTCACAATGAGTAAAACTTGGTAGCACACCACCACGAAGAAGGGTTCTCTGTTAGATGAGTGATTTGGATTTATGTCCTCCTCCTTGGGGTTCTCTTCTCATCTTCTTGATGGTGTCTTTGATGTGCAAAAGATTTAATTTTGATGAAGTCCATCCATTTATCCACTTTTTCTTTTGTTGCTTATGCTTTTGGTGTTTTCTCCAGGAAAGCATCAGTTAACCTGAGGTTACGTAAAGTTTGACTTCTGTGCTTTCTTGTAGTGGCTTTTTAGTTTCAGCTCTTAACTTAGGGCTCTCATCCATTTTCACATAATGTATGGTGTGAGATAGGGATCCAGGTTTTTGTTTTGTGTATGGATGTCTAGTTGTCCCAGCACCATTTGTTGAAAGGGCTTGTTCTTTATCCATTGAATGGAAGCATTATTACTATTATTTTAATTGTTATTGTGATTTGGATGGAAATTTACAGAGTAAATTCATTTTCCATACAGTAGTTTATACACATTTTGTTTCATGACACTGGCTGCATTTCCCCACAATAGAATGGCTCTCTCCCCACGTCCTCCCAGTAGTTACCTCTTCCCTGTCCTTCCCTCCCATGCACTCCTGCCCCCCGAGCTGTCTCCCTGTGCAAACAGTGCCCTTGTGTTCGCCCAACAGATTACTCCAAGGAGTGTATCTACCTGATGTAAATGTTCAACCCTTATGCCTGTCTGTTGTTTGGCTGGAAGCCGCAGGAGAGAGTTCAATTGTAGACCTGAAGGGTAGCTAGGGGCTATAGTCTCGGGTCTCACCAGGCTCTTTCAGACCAGAAAACCTGGTCCCTCCTTTTTTTTTTTTTTCCCCCCAAATGATTTTGAGTTTTGCTCCACATTGTTCTCCCACTCTATCCAGGATCTCCTACATAGATCTCCCTCTGAGTGGTTGGCAGTAGTAGCTGGGCACCATCTAGTTCTTCTGGTCTCATAGTTGTATAGGCTGCAGATCAGATGGTATACTAGTCCTTTGGACTAATTGTTTCCATGCATCTTTGGTTTTCTTCATTCTTCTTCATTCTAGATGAGGAAAGACCTATCATTGCATCTGGATGGCTGCTCGCAAGCTTTTAAGACCCCAGTTGCTACTCACCAAAACAAGCTGTAGAATATTTTTGTATAGTATGTTATGCCAGTTGAGCTTGATGTCCCCTATGACCGTGGTCCTGAGCCCCAGGTCCAACTACTAACTCCTTCAGGATGGAAACATTGTTTTTATAAAGCTGTGTGTTATTTTTATTGTGATTTGGGTGAAAATTTACAGAGCAATTACACTTCCCATACAGCAGTTCACATACACTTTGTCTCATGACATTGACCACGATTTACCACAATGCAACATCTCCCTTCCTGCTTCCTCCTGATAGTTACCTCTTCCCTGTGTCCATTCCTCCATGCACTCCTGCCCCCTAAGCTGTCTCCCTGTGCATAAGCAGCCCTTCTTTTTCCCATGATTGTTCTCTCCAAGAAGTGTATCTGCCTCAGGTAAATGTTCAACTCATATGCCTATCTATTGTTTGGCTGGAAGCCACAAGTGTGGGTTCAATTCCAGACTGAAGGGCAGCTAGGGGCCATAGTCTCAGTGGTTCCACCAGGCTCTATCAGACCAGCAAAGCTCGTCCCCCGCCCCCTTTTTTTCCCCCAAATGATTTTGAGTTTTGTTCCACATTGTTCTCCCTCTCTATCCAGGATCTCCTACATAAATCCTCTTCCAAGTGGTTGACAGTAGTAGCCGGGCACTGGCTAGTTCTTCTGGTCTCATGGTTGTATAGGCTGCAGATCGGATGGTGTACCAGTCACTAGGACTAATGTTTCTATGAATTTTTGGTTTTCCTCATTCTTCTTTGCTCTGGACGAGGAGAGACCCATCGTTGCATCTAGATGGCAGCTTGCAAGCTTTTAAGATCCCAATCGCTATTCGCCACAGTAGGAGGTGGAACAATGTTTTGTGTAGTATGTTATGCCAATTGAGCCTGATGTCCTCTGTGACTATGGTCCCGAGCCTACAGGTTCAATTGCTCGGTACCTCTGGGTAGCTGGCTATGACCAAGCATTGTCTGCCAACCCTATACATGTTCTTGGGCACACTCCGCACTTCATAGACATACCTAATAGTATGTCCCCCCATTTTTGCACCCATATATCCATGTTTGCCTTCCCTGACAATGCCGTACTACATGTGCAAAAAGGTTCATCTTTGTTGTCTGTATTTCCCACGTACCTCTCTATGTCTTTCTCTTCTTCAGTGCCGTTATATTGATCACTCACATATGGTACATTGTTCTTCTCTTCAACCAAATCAAAACTTATCTCTATCTATCTAACAGTGTTCCCTCCTGCAAAAATGGCAAGGAGGCCATGTGTTCTGACCTCCTCTAACCCTACAAAGGGAAGGCAGGATTACCAGCAGTAAACCAAGGCCTATTACTGCAAGGACAAACATGCTGCCTCCCTCCAGCCCTTTCACCAACCGTTCCTCCCAAAGCACCCACCACCTCTCTCCTGGGTTCGATAATTTGCTGCAATGGCCA